CAATTGTAAACGTTTCTAAATTTGAGTTATTTACTGTTTCTTTCATTTGCATTGTTATGGTAACTTTACAGTCATTTTCTATTAAAAATGAAATTGGAGAATGAAATATATACATATACATTTTTTAATGTTTAAAATATCAAATATCACTTTCCCTTGTGCTTCAAGATATGACAAGAATCCTATGCCTTATATTAAAGATTATATGTCATAAGAAGACTTTGGAAATGCTATTTAAGAAGTATAATAAATGGGTCTCATTTGAAGGGGAAAAACCTCTAAGTAGTCAAATTCAAGTGGTCCTTCTTTTTTCTCCATTCCTTTGGTGATACTGCTCTATTGTTTGTGATTTAAATCAAATTTAATTTTTTTTTTTTAATTTAAACCAGTCTTTAAGGTCTTAACTACAATCTCTGTGGTAGAAGGTTGAGGATTGTCCTTAGGAAATGAACTGATTCTTTATTTTTTTTTTTAAATTTTTTTTATTTATTTATGATAGAGAGAGAGAGAGAGAGAGAGGCAGAGACACAAGCAGAGGGAGAAGCAGGCTCCATGCACCGGGAGCCCGACGTGGGATTCGATCCCGGGTCTCCAGGATCGCGCCCTGGGCCAAAGGCAGGGGCTAAACCGCTGCGCCACCCAGGGATCCCCTGAACTGATTCTTTAAATTGCTGGGCGTTAGTTGGGGCCAGTGAGTGTACAGTGAGTGTACTGGAAGATGTATTTGTTGGTTTAAGTTTTATCTATACTCTCCAGGAAAGAGCTACCTATTTGCAAATTTCTGATAGGAAAGAAAGGTGACTGTATTATTGCATTTTCTGGATGTGAAACACTGTATTCAAGATGTTTGTTCTTAGTGTACACACTAATTTGACACCTCAATCTGTCTACAACCATCACATTCAACTCTGTAAGTTATCAACTAATCATCAATCACAGATTTTACATGATCTCTGAGACATGTTTGATTTCTATCCTTACATCTCTTATTTTCTGAGAAACCTAACTTGGAACTAATTTGGAGTATTTCATTATCCAAATACTCCAGGAGTGTTCATACAGCTTTATTGTCTCTACCATAAATATGGAAACATCCAACAAAAACCAGCTTTACTTTGGATTTCTGAAGTAGAATCCTGGGTACTTTTCTGTATGGACAATACTCCTCTAGTTTATACCATGATTATACAATCAACAAATCCTGAGGGTGGAAAACTCCACAGGTTGTTGAGCAGATAAACTGGAAGAGAAAGGGGTGGTGGGAAATGCTTACAGACTGACACACTTAAAAGGGGGAGAGGTGCAAATTATGGTGTCTAGAAATGCAAACCTGGATAAAACTGTAGGAAGTGCTTACTATAAAAGCAAGATGGTGATTACTTTGGGGAGAGCTAATCTACATAAACATGAGATTAAACTATAAAAACAATACTTTGGGATGATGAAAATGTTCTGGAATTAAGTAGCAGTAATGGTTGCATAAACTTGTGAATATTTTAGAAACCACTGCATCGTATACTTTAAAAGGGTAGATTTTATGGTATGTGAATTATATTTCAATGAAAAAAAGAATGCTTTAAAAAATGCTTTTGTTTACAACAACTCCAGTTATTTAAGTAGAAAAGTCATCAAACAGGGGTACCTGGGTGACTCAGTTGTTGGAGTGTCTGCCTTTGCCTCAGGTCATGATTTCCAGGTCCTAGGATGGAGCTCTGCAACGGGCTCCCTGCTGAGCGGGGAGCCTGCTTCTCCCTCTCCTGTTCCCCTTATTCATCTCTCTCTCCCTCTATCTCTCTGTGTGTCAAATAAATAAAACCTTTAAAAATATATATAAGAATATATATATAAAGAAAACTATCGGGATGCCTGGGTGGCTTAGCAGTTAAGCTCCTGCCTTTGGCCCAGGGCGTGATCCTGGAGACCCAGGATTGAGTCCCATGTCGGGCTCCCTGCATGGAGCCTGCTTCTCTCTCTGCCTGTGTCTCTGCCTCTGTGTGTGTGTGTGTCTCATGAATAAATAAACAAAATTAAAAAAAAAAAAGAAAGAAAACTATCTGCCAGGTAACCTGGAGAAAGAACAGTGAGAGATGTGGTACATGAGAAGTCAGAGTATGTGTAACAGTAAGTGAAAAGTACATCAGGGTCATTTAATCAAGATTTCCATGTATTTAAAGTATACAATAACTGGGTTTTCACTTTTATCGAAAGGAAACAATTTATAATCCTCAGCGGTGTAATCATTTTATTCTAAAAGTTGCTGAGTAAAATATTTTAACCTATTCATGGTTCATTTCTCTTAATAATTTGCTTGGGAAATAGAACACATTCATGAATACAGAAGATAAACACTCAGAACTTAGCACTTCAGCTAATACAAATGAATATCATGAGGAAATTTAAAATGAGGGAGACTGGTTACAAGGAGAAATCTCGGGGCGCCTGCGTGGCTCAGTTGGTTAAGTGTCTGCCTTCAGTTTAGGTCATGATCCCAGAGTCCTGGGATCAAACTCCACATCATCACATCATCAGGGTCTCTGCTCAGTGGGAGTCTGCTGTCTCTGTCTCTCCCCTGACTCACGCTCACTGGCTCTCACTAGCTTGCTCTCCCTCTCATGGCTCTCTCTCAAATAAATAAAAATCTTAAAAAAAAAAAAAAAGACATCTTTCATTTGCTTACTGTTTTGATCCTGTTTTTCACAAAAGGTTCTGTGAACTTTACATGTTACAAACCATTATGTATTGGATTTCACATTATGCAAAGTAAAGATATTTTAAACAAGTACTTTAAACCCAAATCAAATATCAACAGACCAAAATCTATACATGACACATGTTTTGTAGCTATAATGAAGACTCAAGGAACTCTGGTGACCAAATTTTGGGACAGAATGAACTTACAGGGTCATGAAGTCAGAGGATAGCAAGTTTCAGACGCTAGTTACCTGCACTCCCACCGGGTGGCCTGAGGTTAGTTACAACATGGCTTTCTGCCCAGCACAAATATATCACTCTTGGAAGAAGGGCTATGGATTAAATCACATAGTAGTCCCTTAATAACTATTTTATTGAATAAATGTAAGACAAGAGAAAATCATTTTCCTCCATCATATGGAGGATCAGACCAGATCAAGATTGGTCCATTTCCAACTCCATCCCTTTGCTTCCATTTATTTATTTGTTTATATTTATTTTTCTATTTTTTTTAAGATTTATTTATTCATGAGAGACACAGACAGAGAGAGAGAGCCAGACACACAGGCAGAGGTAGAAGCAGGGAGCCCAATGCGGAACTCAATCCCGAATCTTGGGATTATGACCTGAGCCGAAGGCAGGCGCCCAACCACTGAGCCACCCAGGCGTCCCTCTTCCATTTACATACATACTTACATACATACGATCAATCCTGTCTCCCACTTTCTATTAAATCAGGCTTTCAGATCTACCACTTCCTCAAAACTCCTCTTTTCAAGGTCACCAAGGATTTTCATGTTGCTAAACTTAATGTACATCGCCCACTCCTCATTTTACTTGAGCCATCAGCCGCATCTGATACAACTGCTCACCTCTTCCTCCTTGAAATGCTTTCTCTATTTGGCTTCTAAGAGGGATAGTAATACTACAGTCATACCAATGATTTCCCCTCCTACTTCATTGGCTGCCCTTGCCCAGCCTTCTTTGCTTGTTCCTCTTCTTGACCTCACGTTGGGGCACGCAGACTCAGTCCTCAGCTTTTTCCTCCACTCACCCTCTCCTCTAATCACATTTTAGTGATTTCATCTACTTTCATCACAATAAATACTGCTGACACCTTCCAAATTTATATCTGGCACCTGGATCTCTGCCTTCACCTCCAAACTCATGCCTATCTAATATCTCCACTTAGATGTTTAAAAGGCATCACAAACTCAACATGTCTAAACCAAACTCATGATCCTCCCACCCACTGCACCCCCTACTTCTTCCTCCTATAGACCTTCCCATCTCAAACAATAGTAATAATAGCTTTTAGTTGCTCAGGACAAAAACTGAAAGCGTTCTTGAGTCCTTTCTCTCATACCTCATTTCCAATCAGTGAGCATATGTTGTTGCCTCTGCCTTCCAAATATAGCAAAACATCTGACCACTTCTCATTACTTCCACTGCTGTTACTATAAACCAACCATCTAATTTTTTTTTTAATAGGCTCCACGCCCAATGTGGGGCTTGAACTCACAATCCTGAGACCAAGAGTCACATGTTCTACTGACTGAGCCAGTCAGGTGCCCCCTCCCCCACAACCATCTATTTTTTTGTCTGGATAATTGCAATGATGTTCTAATGGGTTTCCCTGTTTATACACCCGCCTCTCTGTAGTCTTTTCCCATCTCAACAGAGTAGCACAATTTGATTCAGTTAAAATGTGAGTTCATATCATTCCTTTATAGAAACTCTCCAATGGCTGCTTATTCATTCACAGCAGCCATGAGCTCAGATCATATGTATTTGATGCTTATCTATCTTACCTTTTCTCTTATTATACTTCTACCCTCAACCTCCCACTTATTCTGGTCCACCACAGAGGATTCCTTGTTATTCTCAAAGATGCCAGGCATATTCCTACCTCAGGATCTTTGTATCTATTGGTCCCTCTGCCTAGAATACTCTACTGCTAGTTAGCCTCACCTCCTTCAGTCTTTACTCAAATACCACTTTAGTGAGTCCTTCTCAGATCACTCTATTTAAAATTATACCTACCCAAAATACTCCTATCCCCTTTCCCCTGAAGTTTTTTCCATAGCACTTAATAGCATCTATGGTATACTGTATTTTATTCACTTATTTTGATACCTCCCCCACGGCAGATATACTAAATTCACTGCTGTGAATTCCAGCATCTAAAACAGTTCCTGGTACTTATTAGGCACTCAGAGAATGAACTGTAAGCTATTTAAGTTGATTAAAATTTACAAGTCTCTTATATCAAGAATTTTATACAATTTCACAACCAGATGGTAAAGAAGTATTGGAGAAAGTAAAATGTCTTTATTTTAATAGGTATTCAACTGACCATGAAATCAGTCAATTCTGTACTATTATTTTTTCATTGAGTCAGATCACTTAATTACAATAAGTTCAGATGTGACACACCATCATCACTAATTTTAAATAAAAACTACAATCATGATTTGCCTTCTCCAAATATCCGTTCTCTCAGGTAGTCCATCCGTGCTTCCTTTGTTGACAATGCCATAGAGTTCCATTCAAAATGAGGGATCTGTAAAATATGTCACGTCATTGGAATGAAAGTTTTAAAGCAACAACAATAAAAACATCAGGGAAGACTTGTAAGCACCACTGAGTCAAGCCGTAGGAACCTGTGAAATTAGTTTACATAAGCATAAACCATTTTTAGAAGTTAAGTTGGTCCTTCTTCCTGATAAAGCCCAGAGACTTACTTCTTCCTCACAGCTTTTATCTTATCCTCCTATTCCTACAAATATCAATAGTGGCCATTTTTTTTCCTATGTACCTTCCCTATATACATACACTACCTTTTCCTCTGTATCTCTACCCATCTCCACAGTGCCTCTCTCTCGTAAGATACGTTAAAAAACCAATGGATATTCTAAAGACAATAAAATATGATTCTTATTTACTGTTCAAGAAAAAGAGAGGGTGTTCTGTTTCAGAGATATTCTAATATTACTTTTTTATGTTAAAAAATGTTTAAAAAATTAATGTTTTTTAATGTTAAAAAAAAAGGAATAGTAGAACTTTCACAAAGAAAGGGAACACATACTGGATGGACCTAGAGGGTATAATGCTAAGTTAAATAAGTCAGACACAGAAAACAAATACCATATGACTTCATTCATATGTGATTAAGAAACAAATGAACAAAGAAAAAGAGAGACAAAAAAAACAGACTCTTAAATAGAGATCAGACAGCTGGTTGTCAGAGAGGAGGTGGGGATGTCAGGGAGGGATGGGTGAAATAGATAAAGGGGATTAAGAGGTACAAACGTCCACTTGCAAAATAAGTAAGTCATGGAGATGAAAAGTCGAGCATATGGAATATAGTGTATAAGACTGAAAAAATGTTTGGTGACAGATGATCACTACACTTAATCATGGTAAGCACTGAGTAATGTAGAGAATTGCTGATCCATTATGTTGTATATCTGAGATGAATATAACACTGTATGTTAATTATACTACAATTTTTAAAAAAGGAAACACACGTATAGCCAGTTCTCCAGGGTTTTAGAGACTGAATTACATGAGTATTTCATACCTGAATTATGTGATAGCCCAAAATTTCCAAATGTCGTTTTTTCATAGCAGATTTTCCTTTTAAGTGAGGGATGTTTCTACAAAAAGCTCTTGAATCCAAAAATTGCAGAGCAATCCTGTGGATAAAAAAATATTTACTTCTGAAATCAAAACGAGACACTGAATAATTACAAGCCTTTCAGGAACAAAGTTGCATCTTTATAAATTAACAGGAGCCAAATGAATATAAATGAGTGTGCTATTTTTCTACTTAAATTAGTAATTGGTGACATGTAAGCCTATTCATTAGAGTTTACACCAAATTATAATAAAAATCTCCATGCTGTCATTCGTTTCCTTGTCCAATATATATTTATTATGCGACTACCATATGGAAGGCACTGTTAGGGATACAAACATAAAGAAACATAGCCTATAGTCTAACAGAACATGTGATACATATTAGGTTAATTATAATACAGCTCAGATATCTTCCAGATATATTTCTTTCAGAGAAGATATTATTTACTTCCACTGAGGACAATGAGAAGGTTAGTACTTTAGTTAGAGACTGCTAGGCTTTGAATAGCAAAGGACAGACAAAGGTGGAAGGTACAGGAAAAGCAGACACAGAGGCAGAATGCAGAAGATAAATGAGGAGTAGATTCTCCTACAATCACTCCTTGATAACTGAACTCATTAAATTATGCTACACTTAACATCTAACTAATAAAATCTCAAACTAAGAAAGAAGCTACCTCTCAGCTCCTGGTGGCAGTCTTGATCCAATTATTTGGGTGTTTGATTCCCAGTGCATTTCTGGCAGTTTTCCCAAAGTTATATTATGGCTTCCATACGGAAGAGGTTTTTTCTTTTTGTCCAAGACACACTCAAAATCTATAAGGAAGTACAGGAATCAACAGTATGAATTAAGTAAATTCTTACAGGTAAAAGTCTAAGACATAGTTTAAATACAAATACATATAGAGACATATATGTATATACACACCCATATATGAAAGAATGATGTACACCTCCCTAATGATTCAACTTGTATTTTTAAGATCTGGTCCAATGGTACCTCACTTTGAAAATCGATCAATAAAAATCAACGAGGAAGTATTATTAAACTATACTTAGGACAGTTATATTTAGTGTTGGTGTAGGCCAAATAACATTAAGAGTTTTATTTTAATCCTCTTAAATCTCTTTGTAGCATTTGGAGGAAGCTAAACTCACTCACTGGAAACTAGTAAAGACAAAGATTCAAACATGTCTGTCCTGTATGAACTGTACATAAGAATAACTAATTGATATGGGAAAATTCTTTTTTAGATAAATTCTGGCTAATGCAAAAAAAAATGATAGATGTAGAATATCACTACTTTACCACCCCTAATGAATGATGGATTTAGACAATAATTTCAATGACTAATAAAATCTATAGATGAAAAACTGATACGAGAACTTTCTAGTGGATGAGTTGATGAATCCATAATATAATAAAAACAAGACAACCAGCACTGTGTCTTCTGATATGATGCAAGAAGTATATACCACCTACAAAATAGTCTGGGTTAACAAACAAAAAATCCAACCTGGATCTAACCTGAATCTAATCAAACCTCTAGATCTAAGGGGTGGCTTACAGGAAAACAAGGGATGCAGGAGCATGTAAGATACAAGAGGACTGTAACTCAAAAGTCTAGGATGTGGAGGGGGGGATTTGTTTTCAATAAATAAATTGTAAGGGGAAAAGTGATACGTAGAACTTAAAAGGACATGTCAACCAAATGTAATGTCTAGATCTCAATTTTAACAACAACAAAAAAAAACCCCAGTAAAATAAAACATATAAAAGACAATTGAGACATTCAAGCATTGACAAGCTATGTAATACTAAGAAATTATTATGAACAATGGTGAGGTGATAATGACAGGACTGTGGTTATGTACGTTTTCAGATAAACATTTTAAGAGGATATGTGTGATTTTTTTGAAAAGGATCAGGTGTGAGTCTGGTGAGTGAGTTTTAGTAACTGTTGATGCTGGATGGGGGTTCATCATACTATGCTATTTTTTTTTTTTTTGGAAATTGTTCTGTAATAAAAACAATTGTAAAAGTATTTAAACCAAGAGAAAAAAAAAGGACAAATGAGAAAAGAAACAATGAATGAAAAGGAAAGAGTATATGTTTTTTATACATAAGGGAAACTGGGGCACTGAAGCAACTTCAAGCTAACTATCAAATGTGAAATATAGTTCTCTTATTGAGAATGAATTCTGGAGCTAGAATACCTAGGTCAAATACTGGCTCCACCATTTGCCAACTATATGACCTTGGGCAAACAATAATGTCTTGGCCTCAATTTCCTAATCTAGAGTAATTTATGTACCTGGTAGGGGCATAATAAAGTCTATTATACATCAAACACTTAATACACTGTTTAACATATAATAAACAATATATAGGCATATCAATTACTACTGCTGTTGTTTTATAAAACTGCAGCATTGTCTGACAGATGCATGTACCAACAAAAAGTCCTAAGGATTAAATAAACTATCATATACTCAATACAATGAAATATGGATACAGTCACTAAAAATAATGTATACTTCTGGGCACAGAAGAATATTTGCAATATATAAACATAGCCACAAACATTATAGAATAAACCATTTTTTGGTTTTAAGCAAGTCAGTTACAAAAATAGCAAAAGTAAACAATGGTTATATCACAGTTATTTCTCTTTTTTGTTATTTGTCCTTTCTGGTTTTTCTATAAGTAGTATCCAGTGATTTTTTTTTTTTTAAGTGAGTGTTTTTTTTTAAAACCCTAAGCAATGCTCCTAATCCATAGTTATTAATCATACTATTACATTGTCTTAATTATGCTATAACTATATACATAAATAATACCAATTAAATCTTATTTTTAATGATTCATATACATTTTCACATAAAAATATGCCTCTTGACATGAGAAAGAACAAATATGAATTGGAATTACAATAATCTTGAGACAGACTAATCCTACTTTCAGTACTAATTACATGTTATGCACGATTAGTTACGTGTGATTTTTTTTCTTTTCTGTATTTTCCAAATGTTTTACACAGATATGACTATTTATAGTTTGAAAGAAACATTAACAAAAACAAAACAAAAAGAATAAAATGAAATAACCAGTCACAGTGCCTGTCACAAAGTTGGTGATCAATAATTTTAAGTTATGAGATGGAATTACAGATCATTTTCATATTTTAGTGTATTTCCTTCCAAGAGCATTATTTTTACAGGAGTATATTTTAAAATATAAACATATTTTAAATAGTATAGATTAACAGTATACAGATAGTCCCCAACCTATGATTTTCCAACTTTACAATCGTATAAAAGTGTTATGCATTCAATAGAAACCATAGTTCAGATTTTGAACTCGGATCTCTTTTGATGCTGGGCAGCAGTAGTGAAGATAAACCACTGATACACTTAGAACCATTCTGTTTTTCATTTTTAGGACAGTTTTCAACAAATTACATGAGATATTCAATACCTTATTGTAAAACAAGCTTTGTGGTAGATGATTTTGCCCAACTGTGGGCTAATGTAAATGTTCTGGGTACATTTAATGTAGGCTAGCCCAACTTATGAAGTTTGGCATGTTAGGTGTATATCATGTTAGGTAAAATGCCTTTCTGGGGGGCCCCTAAGTGGCTCAGTTGGTTAAGCGTGTGCTTTTGGCTCAAGTATCGGTCCCGGGGTCCTGGGATCAAGCCCCACGTCAGAGTCCTTGCTCCTCGGGAGCCTGCTTTTCCCTCTCCCTCTGCCTGTCGCTCCCCCTGCATGTGCTCTCTCTCTGTCAAATAAATAAAATCTTTAAAATAAATGTTTAGGGGATCCCTGGGTGGCGCAGCGGTTTAGCGCCTGCCTTTGGCCCAGGGCGCGATCCTGGAGACCCGGGATCGAATCCCATGTCGGGCTCCCGGTGCATGGAGCCTGCTTCTCCCTCTGCCTGTGTCTCTGCCTCTCTCTCTCTCTCTCACTGTGTGCCTATCATAAATAAATAAAATTAAATTAAAATTAAAAAAAAATAAAATAAATGTTTAGTTTTGTTTTTTAAGAGAGAGCATGTGTGCAAGAGCAGGTGCAAGCAAGGGATGGGAGCAGGAGGCAGAGGGAGGGTCAAAGAGGCAGGTTCCATGCACAGTACAGAGCCCCATGTGGGGCTTGATCTCACAATCCTGAGATGACGACCTGAGCTGACATCAAAAGTCGGACACTTAACCAACTGAACCACCTAGGCACCCCTAAATGCATTTGACTTGCAATATTTTCAACTTATAATGGGCGTATTGAGATATAATCCCATGGTAAATCAAGGAAGATCTATATCAATCTTTTAAAACAACCCTCTCCTAGAGTGCAAGTTATTCCCCAATACCTAATACTTGCCTTCATTTTTAATAGAATCCCTAAATCTTAGCTAGGTACATGGTCACCCAGAATAAAAACATTTTCTAGGGATCCCTGGGTGGCGCAGCGGTTTAGCGCCTGCCTTTGGCCCCGGGTGCGATCCTGGAGACCCGGGATCGAATCCCACATCGGGCTCCCGGTGCATGGAGCCTGCTTCTCCCTCTGCCTATGTCTCTGCCTCTCTCTCTCTCTCTCTCTGTGACTATCATAAATAAATTAAAATTTAAAAAAAAACATTTTCTAAACTCACCCACAGCCAAGTGTGGCCACAGGGTATTCATTAAAAATGGCATGTGCAACTTCAAGGAACTATTCTTAAAGGGATACCCTTCCTTTTCCTTCTCTCCTCCTCCTGCTTAGATTGTAGATGTGTTGGCTAAAGAACAAGGAGACATTCTGGGCCATAAAGTGGAAGCTACATGTTAAGGTTGTAGATTATAATAAAATAAAAAGATCTTGATCTTTAATGTTTGTGGTGCTGGCATCTCAGACCTGGATACTCTAAGAGTATGGGAGAAGGAAATAAACTTTGTTAAGTTCTTGTTATTTGTGGATTTGTTACTAATGTAATCCTAAGGTAAAACCAAACAACTGAGATGTGTTCTGTAGTGTAAAGATAAGAGTATAAATGATTATTTGGTTCAGCCTTCTGAACACACAATCTGGTCATTCAGCTTCTGCCCAAACATTTCTTTACAAACATTTCTTCTTTCATTTTTTGATACATCTTTCCTAAAATTTTCCTTACATTGACTTAAAATATGATTCCTTTAATCTTTACCATATTTTTATCCTTGAAATAGATAAATTTCCCTTTCACATAACAGTCTGTCAAACATTATATTTTTCCTTGCATAATATATTATGCATTATACTAAAGATTTATTTATTTATTCATGAGAGACACAGAGAGAGAGGCAGAGACACAGGCAGAGGGAGAAGCAGGCTCCATGCAGGGAATCCGATGTGGGACCTGATCCCAGGACCCTGGGATCACAACCTGAGCCAAAGGCAGACACTCAACTGCTGAGCCACCCAGGCATACCTAGCTTTTTTTTTTTTTAATCATATGTTGTCCAATTTATCCACTAGCCCACTAACTTTATGTCACAATGAAATCAGAATGCTTTCTACAGCTAGACCACTGAGAAACAAGGTTAACCAGGTTGGAGCTGAGTGCATACCTACAAAAATCTTCATCTGAGTGGTTAATCCAAGTCAGTTTGTTTGTTTGTTTTAAAAGATTTATTTATTCAGAGAGACAGAGGCAGAGACACAGGCTGAGGGAGAAGCAGGCTCCATGCAGGAAGCCCGACGCGGGACTCGATCTGGGGTCTCCAGGATCACACCGGCTGCAGGCGGCACTAAACCCCTGCGCCACCGGGGCTGCCCAATCCAAGTTAGTTTTTGACATGAACTTCAGATAATGAAATGGGGGGGGATCCCTGGGTGGCATAGTGGTTTAACGCTTGCCTTCCACCCAGGGCATGATCCTGGAGACCTGGGATCGAGTCCCGCGTCGGGCTCCTGCTTGGAGCCTGCTTCTCCCTCTGCCTGTGTCTCTGCCTCTCTCTCTCTCTCTCTCTCTCATGAATAAATAAATAAATAAAATCTTTAAAAAAAAAATAATGAAATGGTGTTAAATCATTTCCCTGACTTTGGGGTACTTCATGGAGAGGAAAAAAAACTTTTGGAGATCTAGAAATATTCAGTGAATCTGAACCTGGGTTTTACTTAGAATTGATGAAAGATTTGTAAAAAATTTTTTTTTGAAAAACAACAAAATGCTGATGGTTCTCAGGCTGGACTATGGAAACTTGAGGAATCATTGTATTCTTTTTTCTATTTTGGTCTGTTTAGAAATTCCATTTGAGGGCAGCCCTGGTGGCTCAGCGGGTTTGATGCCACCTTCAGTCCAGGGTGTGATCCTGGAGACCCGGGATCGTTTCCCACATCGGGCTCCCTGCATGGAGCCTGCTTCTCCCTCTGCCTGTGTCTCTGCATCTCTCTCTCTGTGTGTCTCTATGAATAAATAAATAAAATGTTTTTTAAAAAAAAAGAAATTCCATTTGATGAGATGATTCTCTTTTAATTAGTTTAGTTTTGGGATCCCTGGGTGGCGCAGCAGTTTAGTGCCTGCCTTTGGCCCGGGGCACGATCCTGGAGACTCAGGATCGAATCCCACGTCGGGCTCCCTGCATGGAGCCTGCTTCTCCCTCTGCCTGTGTCTCTGCCTCTCTCTCTCTCTCTCTCTGTGACTATCATGAATAAACAAATAAAATCTTTAAAAAAAAAATTAGTTTAGTTTTCTGAAAGTACCTAGTAACCTACCAAAGACTTACCTATTCGGTGGTAATAAGGGGTAAGAACCGAGGCTTTTACACAATTGGTTCCTCCTAGCACCTCTGCTAACATTTTATAAATCTGCTTTTGTGCTCCATTCATGCTGCCAATATCTTTATGAAAATAAAAATAATTAGTTCACATAAAAGAAGTTCATCAGTTTCAAATGAGAATCAACCCAGTTCTACAGCTGAAAAATAAAGATTAATATTTTCAACAAAAGCTTCAATATAATACCATACTCAATGATATTAAATTCAGAACAATATAAGTTCTGTGCTCTCTACCAAAGAGTAATTAGTGTCCTAAATATTAAGGAATTCTTATAACACAAATCCCACCTATAAAATGGTTCTATCAAACAGGTCATGGCATCCTCAGTAACTCTGGTGTCATGGTTGGGCATAACAAGGTACTAACTAATAATTCCCTTTAGAATTAAATTTTGCTGTCTAACCCAAAGAAAACTCAAACCTTTGTTATACTGTTGTTGACAGAAGCGGTCATGAAACCATGGAATCTGATACTCAGGGCACTCCAAGCAGACTGCTCTATTTAATTCCATAAGACGAAACTGGACCCTCCTATTTAGAGATGAACATAAAACTGAAATCAAAAATAAAATATTAACGGATTTCGATGGGTTGGACATAAAAAAGACAATCCATTTTTTTCACATTCATTTATCCTTATTATTTGTTAGTACTTTCATTCTCACAAAACCATTTGATTTGCACACACATGTTTTATATTTTTAAGTTACTCAGTGGCATGATTAGGACCAACTCTTATGTTGTTTTCACTAATCATGAATATTAGAACTATATTTTTAAAAATACTACCAAAGAATTGACTTCATTGACTTAATATTCCACATTTAGGTATCTATCCTAAAGAAACAAAGGTGCGGTCAATGATTCATGTATAAAAATCATTATTTATAATGAAGAATTGGAAACAACTTACATGATAACAAATGCTGTTACATTCATATCATAGATTATATAGACACTAAAACAATTATGATATCAAACATTAATGGCTGTTCAAAATATAGCTGGATGACAAAAGGCAACATATAAAAGTGAATATGCTAATAATCCAAAATTTATGTTAGAATACATCTAGGCATATAAACATACACATAAGAATAAGAGAGAGATAGAAAAGAAAGATATGCTCCAAAATATGACTGAAAGAGTAGTTTCACTTGGTGGTAAAATTATGAATAATCTTTTAATTTCTGTTTTATACTTTTTTTCTATGTTTTCCAAATTTTCTACAAGAAGCAGGAAATACTTTCATAAATAAAAAAAATATATATATATATATTAACATTTAAATGCTTCAGTATAGGTGAGTTGAAACTTGAATAAAAAGTGTAAGTAATAATTTAGTGTAGATACATACGTTCAAGTTGAGAATCCATTTTGGACAAAAATTTGATATTAAAAATTGCCTTCAGCAGATCTTCTGGAAAATATCCAAGTGCAGCCAAAGAGAAACCAAGAAACACTAACATGGGAGGCTCCAATCCACCTAAAACAAAATTAAGATAAAAAAAATTATAACACACAGCCACCTCAGATGTACATAACTACACACGTTATTCAGGTCAAACCAGGTTTTAAAAAAAACGATACAAACATAGCCTTGACAAAATTATCTATACTGTTACAAGTCAGGAGAGTGGTGAAGTGCTTACCTTTGGGTGAGAGTAGAGTAGGAAAGGGGGAGGAGAGGAGGACACTGTGGTAATACTGTCTCTTTACATGAGTACTGATTCCTTGGGTGATTCTCTTTATATAAATTCATACTATGTGCTAAGGATATGTAAATATTCCTGTATTATTATTTTACTTCCATAAAAAGTTTTAAAAATTGCTTTGAAAAGATAAAGAATTCGAAACAAAAGGTCAGTAGTATATGTAATAAGTGGTCCTAGTCTCTGTATTGATGATAACAATATAATAGAGCTCAGGTGTGTTAGGTATCATTGTAAGCATTTACATATATTAACTCATTGAAATCTCACCTCAGTATACAGTAGGAACAATTATTATCTCTGCTTTGAAAATAAGTATACAGAGGCACAGAGAAGTTAAATGACTTGCCTGAAGTCACACAGTTAGCAAGTGGACAATGAGGTTTAACCCAGAGAGCCTAGCTCCAGAGCCTAGACTACTACTCTGTGCTGCTGTGTAGGGATCTCAAATATCCAGGCTGAGTGTAGACACATATGAAGCTCAGGTTTCAAATAGCACCTTCTCCCTACCTGTCACCCAACAGCATGGCACATGTCCCAGAGTACAAGATTGAGGTTATTTAGCTAATTTGCCTCGTCCAAGAGATATTTCCGATGAAAAGGAAGGGGTCCCTACTGGTAGCAATATTCTTAGCAAGGACAAAAAAAAATGTTAAATCTTTCCTTTTGGATTTTTTGCTGAGTTATTTAATAAATCAAGATCAAGTCATAAATGAGCTTAACAGTGGCCTGTCAAAACTAGTACTTAATCAAAATAAAGAAAAATATTATGCCATTATTTAAAATTTTACTTATAAAGGTCTCCAAGAATTTTCCAAACATTCTCTTAGTAAGTCTTAAAAAAAAAATCAAAGCTGCATTTCTCAATCTTTCTTCTCTTAAACTCTATTTTTTTAAAAAAAGGAGGTATTTTCATTTCCTTCTGGTTGTTGACACAAGACTGAACAAGCAGGAAAGCACACTCTTTTTTTCTTTTTTTTCTTTTTTAAGATTTTATTTATTTATATGAGAGAGAGAGAGAGAGGCAGAGAGACACAGGCAGAAGGAGAAGCAGGCTCCATGCAGGGAGCCTGACATGGGACTCAATCCCGGGACTCCAGGATCACGCCCTGGATGAGGATGAAGGCGCCCTGGATAAGGATGAAGGCGGCGCTAAACGGTTGAGCCACCTAGGCTGTCTAGGAAAGCACAGTCTTAAGTCTCAGTTTCAAGTCTTCTCTTTCTGCATATTGTTATGTTACTAAAAAAGGATATATATAAGGCCACACATGCATAAGCCCCACTCACGACTAAGTGTAAACATACCACAGCAGCCTGTTTTACATGTCTGTTCCCAAAGTAGTATCAGACATGGTTATAATATTATGGTATCAGTCAATGGCAGGAGAAAGTAAAAAAAACAAAAACAAAAACAAAAAACCCAACAGACTATCAGAGACTAAGGAGGTATCAACCTAGTGCAATGAGTGGGTGCTGGGTTCAAAATAAACACCCTAGAAGGTATTTTTGAGACTAACGAGGGAGATTTAAACCTGGACTGTATATTAGGTATTATGAGTACTAATTTTCTTAGGTATGACAACAGTACTGTGGTGATATAAGAGGTCATTATTCTTAGGAGTTGTATGCGTAACCAATACACCTACAGTAACGATGCCTACAACTTACTGTGAAGTGGCTCTGAAAAAAATAAGAGAGCAAGAGAAACAAACAGCAAAGCAAACACAACAAAATGTTAACAATTACTGAGTTTTCCTGGTGAGTATGTTGGTACTCTTTGTTTGATTTTTTTTTTCCATTTTTTCTTTAAGCTTGATATTTTTCATAATAAAAATGATCCAAAAATGGGTATAAACTTTTTTTAGGTCTAGAACTCATGGCCATTATCATTATCCCTTAAACAAGAGATATCTCTTAACACAGTGACAATGGTATCTTCCAACCTGCTTGGAAGCAATATATTACCAAACAATATACCTACTTAAGTAAGAATTCAGGTGTTGAATGCAAATCCTGAAAAATTCATCATTTTGAGGTGGATCATAGTTCAAGGCGCTAAATGGAAGAATAATACCAAGGATCTCAAAAGGGTGGATCTGTATAAACACAACAAAATGTTATAGTTTAAACTTTAGTAAAATAGAACAAAAATTTACCTAATTATTATTTGGGTAGAAATCTTTTTCTAACATGCCTAGAGTAAAATGATAAATGCATCACTACCGATTACTTCTCCCACCCTGCTGTAATCTACTTAGTCCCACCACTAGCTCCTAGTAACTCTAAGTATCAATGCAGAAAAAAATTAACCAGAAAATCTGCAAATCAGTTTTATTAGGTGTAAAATCCTGTTCCAGAATTCATTAGTCATTAAAATTAATAGGAAATAGTATTACTAATTTCCACATCAGTGCATTTTATAGAGTCATCATATAATCAAGTTAGTTTATAATATCAGGATATTTCTTTCATTCATTCATTTTTTAAAATTTCACTATTCACTCATTTGTCTAAAACTTAATGATCGCCAGGTACTACACTAAGCAAATAAGACAGATTTTTATTTTAATTTGGGAAAAATACTGTCTTCTAAGTAAAAGCCTTATCCTGATATAGATTTTATAAGTGAGCTTCTTCTCGCATAATAGAAAAAGTATTTTACAAGTAAGTTCCAGAAATACATTTGTAAGAAGACACATTGACAATTTAAGAATACAGACGTCAGTGTACACCCTTTTTTCTTCATTTTTCACATTTATCTCATGCTTTTAAATGTAGTCGTTCCTAGATAGCAAAAGTAATATCACAGGATTATAGAAAAGAAAAAAAAAATCATGCATACTCCATTTCCTTAATACAATTAAGTATATCCTTCTAAACAACGAATTTTGACTACAGATCTTAAAAATATTATAATGAACCAAAAGATGACTGCTATACTCCCCAGATCTACCCTGCTGGAGGAAAAAACTTTAGAGGAGGAACAAACTACTGAATCAGACACTAGAACTTAATTTTTAAAATTCAAATTCCAGGAGCACCTGGGTGGTTCAATCAGTTAAGCATCTGCCTTCACAGCTCAGGTCATGAACCCAGGGTCCTGGGATCCAGCCCAACGTTGGGCTCTCTACTCAGCGGGGAGTCTGATTCTCCCTCTTCCTCTGCCCCTCACCCCCACCCCTGCTGAGGCTTGCATGCATGCTCGCTCTCTCTCCCCCAAATAAAATCTTTGAAATAATAAAGAATAATAAAATTCAAATTCCAATTAATTCTCAAAGTTCTTTGATAAACATTTATGCTTTTAGAAGTTGACAACTATATAAAATTTAATTTTACCTTTTCAATCTGCTGAACAACCACTGAGGCTATCCTATCAAGTAGCAAAGTATTGAGGTAGTTTGTTCTAGAAATAAAAGATGCAATCTCTGCAACATTTTTGGAATTAATTTCATCCATCAAACGCAGGAAAGTAGCAACTGTTTCTTCAAGAAGTGACTCAGTAAACCAGTCTCCTTTTAAAGATTTAAGTTCTTTCCATAACATATTCAAACTGTTGCATTTTCGTAGTCTCTGAAGTCCATAGTGATCTAGTTTTTGAAGCAGTTTCAGTTGTTTCCCAGTGGTATTATCCAGATATTTGTGATCATAATGAATCCATCTTAAAACAGATGTGGCAAAACCATTCAGGTCATTTAGGTCACACTGTGGTAAAACTGCTTCAATTTGAGATATCTCCACTTCACCTAGGTTAGAAGATGGAAGAATGGAAAGAGCATAGACCAGGATGGCAATCTCACTAGGTATAACACTAATTTTCAAGTACCTAAAAAGGGGAAAAAATGAAAAGAACAAAATTAATAAATCAGCAACAAAACAAAAAATAAAGTTTGAATAATAACCATTATTGTAATTAGCAGGTATAGTAGGTTTAAAATACAAGTTAGTTTAAGAAGAGTTAAATTCAAAGATGACTGTTCCACAAAGGGTTACTAAAAAAAGTCTGGAGATTTTCTAAGGCACATCTCAAATATTTTATGCAAAAATGAAACCATAGGGACATCTGGGTAGCACAGTGGTTGAGCGTCTGCCTTTGGCTCAGGGTGTGATCCTGGGGTCCTGGGATTGAGACCAGCATCAGGCTCTCTGTAGGGAGCCTACTTATCCCTCTGACTCTGTCTCTGCCTCTCTCATGAATAAATACATAAAATCTTTAAAATTTAAAAAAAAAAAGAATTCTATAAAAAAAAATACAAATCCCAAAACCAAAAATGAAACCACAGTCAGGGTAACCAAAGCAAAGATCAGGGTCAGAACAATATTTCCAGTGCTTTTGCTGGAGACAGATTTTGGGCTGTTTGCTATGACCAGTTAGGAGCTGGTTTGACATAGTACAGGCCCTGCCATACAGTGATCACTGAGTAACGCTTTTCATTCCTCTTTCCCAAATTCTCATGGTAACAGTCCCATCCCCAAAGTAAGAGTCTGGCCACCAGGACAGCAGTTGTTAAATTACAAATAAAAAACTGGAAGCTTTTAACGAATCTTTTGGTTTAGAAGTACCAGGAGAAAAAATCAAATCTATATTAAAACAAAGTTGTTGGGATCCCTGGGTGGCGCAGCGGTTTGGCGCCTGCCTTTGGCCCAGGGCGCGATCCTGGAGACCCGGGATCGAATCCCACGTCAGGCTCCCGGTGCATGGAGCCTGTTTCTCCCTCTGCCTGTGTCTCTGCCTCTCTCTCTCTCACTGTGTGCCTATCATAAATAAATAAAAAAAATTAAAAAAAAAAAAAAAAAACAAAGTTGTTGAGTTACTTTTTAAAATATTACATTAGCATATTAAACAATCATAATAGACAATGTGAGCAAAAACTTAAAAAGTAATTACTTCATTTGATATGGTCAATTCCTGTCTAGGAAACTAGACTAAGAAAATAATCTAAAATGTGAGCAAATGGCAACTATACTTTAATTACAAAATTTTTTTAAAAATACACAGTATTACAAAGAAAAATAAAATGCTAACAAAGATCTGTGTTATGTATCATATTTTTACATGGCTAAAATTTGAAAACTAAATGTTCAATTAGGAAACACTTAAATGAATTATGGTACAGTTATATGGGTATTACCTAGTCATTAAAAAGATTTACAAATAGTGCTAAATGATGTGCAAAAATGCTAAGTGGGTAAGGGTAAGTGCGGAAAAAAGCTACAAAACTGTATTCTCAACTAGGAGAGAAAAAAACATTTATGCACACACGTGTAAGTTAAGAATATATCACAAGTAAATAAACCAAACCACTGCCAGTGGATGAATGAGTTTAGGAATGATTTTTATTTTCTTTTTTATACTTTCTTTTTTTATTCTCCAAAATTTTCAAAATGATTTTTATATAATATTTGGTCCACTGCCTGACACAAAGTAGGTACCCAATTAGGACTAAATGCATATTTTATTCTTATAACCACAAAAAGATAAATATAGACTTTTATATAAAGAAAGCCCCCAAAGCTGCATCTATTTGCAGAACTGATCTAGGGGATAGAACTCTCAATATTTGCCAACCTTGCCATACTTGTCTAAAAATAAACCCCCAACAGATACAATCTCTCCAACCTCCACTTGATGTTTTTCCTAGAAACACTTCCTCAAATTCTAAAACTTACATGTGCATGTGTCTTTACTTACAATAGCACCACAGTATGGCTAAATTTAGAAAATAAAAATACGTGAAGTGTTGGCAGGGATGTGGAGCAACAGGAATGATCAGCCCACATTCTGCTGCTGGGAATATAACCTGGTACAACTCCTCTAGAAAACCGTTGTTTTTTTTTTTTTTTCTTTTTAAAGTACAGGTTCAGTCAGATTTAATTTTTAAAATGGAACATATCTTACATAAGGATCTTTTTAGAAATGCTATACCTATGTAGTCACTACAGGAGATGCACAGATCTATAACTCATGGGGCAAAGAGTATACAGACAATTTTGTAAGGATTTGAAAAACAATTCAAAAATAGTTTACAAAGAGAATCAGGAGGCAGAAAATGCTTCAAGAGGCATGATACTCAGAAATTGTTATGGAATGCTGGTTCACTTGTATCAATGTAATGTTCCTGATCAAGATCTACTGATGATGAACATAGGTATAACCTATGAACCAACAATTATACTCCTTGGTAAATATCTATAGAAATGCATACATATATTTATTAAAAGACATGTATGAGGATATTCAGAACACAACTACTCATAGTAGCCAAAAACTAGAAATAAGTAAAATATTCATCAACAATAGAGTGAATAAAAGTATTTTTGTTATATCCTTACAAAGAGAATACAATACAGCAAAAATATGGATAAATCTCATGAATGTAACTGTTGAGCAAAAGAAGTCACACACAAAACAGACAAAACTAATCCATGCAGTTGGAACTAGGCCTGGTAGCTAACCTGGGGGATGAGGAGGTAGGTATATTTTGTGTAGATTACATTTCAATATGGTAAAATAATAATAATAAGCCCACATTATTCTAGTATATGAATTCTCTGTTCCCTGGATGGTTTCAAGAGCTACACATAGGAATAGTTATGTGAATAGTATAATTAGACTGTGTTCCTTCTAAAGTCTACTTGAGGGCAGCCCCGGTGGTGCAGCGGTTTGGCATCACCTGCGGCCTGGGGTGTGATCCTGGGGACCCTGGATCGAGTCCCACGTCGGGCTCCCTGCATGGAGCCTGCTTCTGCCTGTGCCTCTGCCCCCCTCTCTCTCTGTGTCTCTATGAATAAATAAATAAAATCTTTAAAAAAATAAAAATAAAGTCTACTTGAGGAGATCCCTGGGTGGCTCAGTAGTTTAGCACCTGCCTTCAGCCCAGGGCCTGATCCTGGAGTCCCGGGATCGAGTCCCACATTGGGCTTCCTGCATGGAGTCTGCTTCTCCCTCTGCCTGTGTCTCTGTCTCTCTCTCTCTGTGTGTCTCTCATGAATAAATATATAAAATCTTTTTAAAAAAATATGAATGTTATATCCACAGAAAAACAGAAAACGTTAAATTACATAGATAAAATACCTTTTCAGTAACATTACTCTTAGATATCTTATTTTAAAAATTACAAATTAAAAAATGTAATCTGCTTTGAAACAATCTACATGCCTTAAAACAGGCAAGTAAGCAGACTGAAGGCCCCTAAGTGTGAGTGCTCCCAAACGGAGTTTTGTCTTGCTGGGCAGCTCCAATCTTTTCATAGTTATTGTATTTCTGCAGGAAAGGAAAATGCCTTGGCTTTTACTGTTATTCATGCCCCGGGGAACTCATTACCCTACTAGCTTCATTTCAGAATATACCAGGCCTGAGCACTGACAGAATGGGCACGGGGAGAGATAAATGTGTTAACATTTTAAATAATAAGCCACTTAATTCTGCCTCCAAAAGTTCCAACAACTCTCTACATAACCAAACAAAACAATCATTGAGTCGAGATTATAAAACAAACACTTTGATTCAATCTTACCTAAGCAGTAATTCTCTGAGTTTCACAAAAAGCTCTTTACTTTGAAAATGTAGAAAAATCAATGTTTGAGTTATCTTCAATAACTCGAATGGTTTATAGTCATCCAAATGTTTATGCAGAATTGAAGCGATTCTAAAAAGGATAAAACATGTATTATAATCAATTCATTCATTCATTTATTAAATATTTACTGAGGAGCTCTTTCATGCCAGACATGTTCTGTGCTGGAGAAACAGCAATGATTGAAATAGCATTTTCTGTTTTTGAAGAGCTGTCTCAAGATGCTGATAGAAATGTAAACAATTAAGATAGAATGGTATAAGAGCTATCAATGAAGTGTGAATGAAATAATATTTAGTTATTAATAGTAAGAGGAGAGAAAAGCATAGTTTCACTTTTCTAAATAAAAAAACTCACAGAACAGCCATCAAATTCCATATCTTCCCCACAAAGAAATCTTTACCAAGAGTTATTAACAATTAGCAAAACTGATTTAATTTTCTTCCTTAATACACTGGCCCTTTAATAGAACTGATTAAAAGCAGTAAGAAATGCTAAGAGGGAGTACATTGGAAGAAACAGGGTGGAAGGAATACTTTAAAAAGGAACATACAATAAAACATTAAGTATATATAATCTGAACTACACATTTTTTTCTTCTTAAACTTCATATTAAAAAAGACAATATATGGCAGTATGATTTCAAGGTAATAACTGTGGTGTGAAACAATTCAAGTTCATATAGATGCTCTCCATTTTTCTAGCATCATAATGCTCTACTTGAAAATAACAAAAGCATGGGATCCCTGGGTGGCGCAGCGGTTTAGCGCCGCCTTCAGCCCAGGGCCTGATCCTGGGGACCCAGGATCGAATCCCACGTTGGGCTCCCTGCATGGAGCCTGCTTCTCCCTCTGCCTGTGTCTCTGCTTCTCTCTCTGTGTCTTTCATGAATAAATAAAATCTTAAAAAAAAAAAAACACTTTGAAAATAACAAAAGCAGCAAATGAAACAAAAAATGCTATAAACAATTTAAAAATCTCTATTTAAAAAAAAAACTATTTAGATAATAATGCCTTAAGTGTTAATTCCTTATTTCTTCAAAACTGATTATAGAAAAAAATAATGTATCCTCAAAGAAAGTAGTTACTTATGAATGACAACTAAATGTAACACCATTAATTTCAGGAAAGACTACTTTTTAATCAGATGTGAATTTCTGCTTTCCATCTCTTCCATTGCACTCATCACTGCTAGGGCTTGCTGGCTGGTTAGCTCCTCTGACATCAATAATATAGTTGATTTAAGTCTAGAAGTAAAGAAAAATATTGTTATGTTGAAAAACATAATGATTAGCTTATAAACAGTTTTTTTTATTTTTAAATAACAGTTATTAGGTAATGAATAGAAAAGAAATACAAACAAAAACTGAATTCAATATGCAGTATAAATTTTCTCCCCATATAATAGGGGATAATATAAGTATGATTGAATAAAGAAAATATATTGTTTTCATCAAAGGAATTAAGGCTTCACTACAATCTCATCTTAAATTGTCTCTTACAAAATATAGACAAATATTTTTTAATTGATGTTCAAATAAGATAAAGTTCTAATATTTATAAAATACAATGATTTAGTGAAATTATTCAGTACTACAGAGCTAAAGAACTAAAAACTGACAGTCAAACAATATTCCAATTATCCTAAATTAAGATCTAATCAGGAAGTCAATATATCTCCATATTAACAAACCTTATCTACTAAATACTTGCTGAAACACTATAAATTTACAAAGATGATCCATTTTGAAACCATCCAAAGTAGTACACTAATACGGGTATCTTATATAACTGTATCTTCTAGAATAATTTATTTTTAAAAAAAGATTTTATTTGAGAGAGAGAGAGCACACAAGCAGCAGAGAGGGAGAAACAGGCTCCCTGCAGAGCAGGAGTTCGATCCCAGGACCCCCCAGGATCATGACGTCAGCCAAAGGCAGATGCTTAAATGGCCATCCAGGTGCCCCCTTAGAATAATTTAGAAGGCTAGCCCAAAACATGAAATCTGAAGGTAACAGGATAAATTCTCTATTCATACTAGATATTTCTACACCATCCTTTTCATTAACCTTATCAAACATTTCAAATCCAGCTTCTACTCAAAGCTTTCCCTAGCCATTTATGTTCACATTTTTCTCTCCTTTTCCTACTGTATCACTAATTTGAGTACTTATGCATAATGTATTCCAACGTCATGATATTTAAACTTTTTAATTATGTATACATTTCTATCTTCCCAATTGGAATTTAAATTCCATAAAGGCAAGGACTCAGTGAAATTCAACTTTTGTACTGCTTTAGCACATGAGATATCAGTAGTACTTGGTGACAAAAAAAAAAAAAAAAAAACCCTCCAATAAAAGCTTTTTAAGTAATTATCTTATCCCCAACTTTTTTTTTTAAGATTTTATTTATTCGTGACAGACAGAGAGAGAGAGAGAGAGGCAGAGACACAGGCAGAGGGAGAAGCAGGCTCCATGCAGGGAGCCCGACGTGGGACTCGATCCCGGGACTCCAGGATCACGCCCTGGGCTGAAGGCGGCGCTACACCGCTGAGCCACCCGGGCTGCCCTCTTGTTCCCATCTTGATAGTCTCTTAAAACGTATCCTTAAATGTCTTCATATAATTCAAAGGACCCTTAAAAATAAAACTCTCCACGAATCTTTTGCTAACAGAGTAATGATGTAGATACCTCTATTATCCAATTCCTGGAATCCCTGCATAACTAAATCCAGTATCATAATTATCTCTTTCCTCATACCTAGTAATCATTTATTAATTTAATCTTTTCCCAGAAGACACGAACAGAAATTTCACCAAGGCAGACTACACATGGCCAACAGGCACATGACAAAATGCTCTGCATCACTTGCCATAGGGAACTACAAATCAAAACCACAGTGAGATGCCACGTCATACCGAAATGGTATGGCGAAAATTAACAAGACAGGAAACAGTAAATGTTGGAGAGGATGTGGAGAAGGGGGAACCCTCTTACACTCTTGGTGGAAATGCAAACTGGTTCAGCCACTCTGGAAAACAGTGTGGAGGTTCCTCAAGAAGTTAAAAATAGAACTACCCTAGACCCAGGAATTGCACTACTGGGTATTTATCCCAAAGATACAGATGCAGTGAAACACTGGAACACCTGCACCCCAATGTTCATAGCAGCAATGTCCACAACAGCCAAACTGTGGAAGGAGCCACGATGTCCTTCGATAGATGAATGGATATAAAGAAGATGTGGTCTATGTACATAATGGAATATTACTCAGCCATCAGAAAAGTCGAATACCCACCATTTGCTTCGACGTGGGTGGAACTGGAGGGTATTATGCTGAGTGAAGTAAGTCAATTGGAGTAGGACAATCATCATATGGTTTCACTCATATGGGGAATATAAGAAATAGTGAAAGGGATTTTAAGGGAAAGGAGGGGAACTGAGTGGGAAAAATCAGAGAGGGAAACAAACCACAAGAGACTCCTAACTCTGGGAAATGAACAAAGGGTTGCAGAAGGGGAGGTGGGCAGGGGCTTGGGGTAACTGGGTGACGGGCACTGAGGAGGGCACTTGATGGGATGAGCACTGGGTGTTATATTGTATATTGGCAAATCGAATTTCAGTAAAAACAAATGAAAAAAAATTAATGTTTGCCCATATTTATATCCCAAACAGTTCTATCTATATCAATATCTGGAAAAACTGGAAATTTTTAAAAGATAGGAAACAGATGAAATTCACTCCAACCTGAGAAGAGCACATTTACTAAGATACTTAAGAAATGCCTTTGATAACAAACTTGAGGACAACACAGGATAGAATGGTCCATTGTTAGGACTATTATAATTCTAAATATTCTATACCCTCTAACTGGGGGTGGGAAAGTCTTATATCTATGTGTAGAGTCAATCATATGGCCCAGCAGGAAGAGAGAATAAAAACACACACTTGGGTATTCTCCAGAGAATATCCATCTGCCTCATCCTTTCTTGTGTTGGCCACCACCATGGAGTTATTGGCTTTTTCTGAGAATTTAACAGTAGACCAAGCATTTGAGATGTAACTGATAACAATCAGAGAAATAATCAAGAAGTAGACATAAGAGATTATTCTCTCTTCCAGGGCTACATGGGGTGATATTTGTGCCTTCCAGAAAATAAGAAAAGAATAAGAAAAGTAAAGCATTTTTAGCTAACTTACTGTTTCTTTTCTTCAGGTCCTGCCATGGGTCCCAATGCTACAAAAAGTTTTACAATGCCATCAGGGTGATCAAACAGAGGAATCATTTCAGTTAGCCTCTTTTTAGCCATTTTAACAAATTCAAAACTATGAAACTGCAGAGAGTGGTACAGACTAAGTATTTTACTGATGGAGTCCAAATCAAGGTGGTTCATATTGCTTAAAAACACTTTATTGCACCTTTCTAATAGTGGGTAATAACTATATTTAATATTTCGAAGAAACTGTACTATTCTTCTTGCAACGTTAACCTGGGAAGAATCTATGGTATCAAAAAGATGTTCTGTTTTGTTCACTAACTGTTGTTGAAATCGTTGTGATGTTAAAGAAGATATGCTGACCATCAATACAGACAAGGATCTAAAAAGGAAAAAGATGCAAAGATTTTCACATTATTTAAGAATAAAGAACAATTCTAAGACTAAATGATTAAATATGTAAAAGAACTAGTTAAAATATTATGGGCCTTATACCACAAAATTTTTCCCTAAATATTCTTACTGGACTTGAATGCAGATCTCCTAGTAATCAAATACCTTTAGACTAAAAAAAAAATTATACTAATATCTTTTATTAAGTATGTATAACATATCATTATATAGATAACTGCCTTGAAGGAAAAAATTATCATTCAGAAATCACTTTGGACCAATAGCCCATGAATGCAATATTAAAAGTCTCACTTCATATTTTTGGCAGTAGACTGCACTTTGTTATTCCTTTCTCTGTATATCTGTAACTTACTAATAAAAATCTTGGCAAACTATTGCTCATTAATAAATGACTTCATATGTTTTAATGTCTCATGCTAGTAATATATGACAGTACTGAACATAAGGTAGCATTAATATTTCTTCACTAAAAAAAAAAAAACTTTTAAGGAACATAAATCATTCTTCCAAGCATTGAGGGAGACATCAAAATTACAAGGGTGAGGTCCCTGCTTTCAAAACACAGGTTTTACATAATACAAAAATCAGAAAACTACAAATACAAGAATGCACCCATAATGAATGAGGAATGCAAAATGGAAAAGACATGTAACAAATGTTCATGGATGATAATTATAAAACATCTACAGAAAAGACGTAAAAATGTAAATATAAAACTATTACATCCATTAGGATAGAGAGACTGCATTTATTTTTGTTTCCAAATTTCTTCAATCTCTCCAATAAAATAAATATATTTTAAAAACCCAGTTGTACAATATTTTGATTTCTCTACTCAAATGTTTCATGTTAATATTAAGCAGGATTAATTAGTGACTTAACATTGCTATTTCATTTAACCATAAACCACACTGAAATTTTTTTTTTAGTTGTATGTATATTTTTAATTGCAGTTTAGAGTAGGGGAATGTCCAAAGATTTTATTAGATTCTCAAAGGGTCTATAATTTTTTAAAGTTAAAAAAATTTACACTGATTTTTATTATCTCTGCTTTTCCAAGGTACTTTGCGGTTATGTATGTGAAAATATATATAACATAAATTTACCATTTTAAACATTTTTAAGTGTACAGTTCAGTGGTATTAAGTATATTCACATTATTGTGCAAAGGTTACCACTATCCACCTGCAAATCTTTCCCATCCTCTCAAACTAAAACTTTTTACCCATTTAAACATTTAACCCTCAATTCTTTACCCCGTCAGCCCCTAGCAATAACCATTCTACTTTCTGTTTTCATGAATTTGACTACTCTGGGAAGTCATTTATGTGGAATCATACAGTATTTGTCCTTTTGTGTTTAGTTTATTTCACTTGGCATAATGTCATCTATGTTGTAGCATGTGTCAGAATTTCCTTCTATTTTACCACTGCATAATATCCCATTGTAGGCATATACCACATTTTGATTGTCCATTCATCTTTCAATGGACATTTAGGTTATTTCTACCTTTTGACTCTTATGACTAATGCTGCTATGAACACTGATGTATGGTACAGACTGAAATGTATCCCAGCTAAACCCCATATATTAAAATCCTAGTCTTCAATATGACTGTATTTGGAGATAGGGTATTTAAGAAGGTAATTAAAGTTAAATAAGGTCATTGGGGGCAGGAAACTAACTACCTTGCAAGTAAAGTAAAATCTCAAATATTCCACAGATCTCAACAACGTCATGTTCTACTTTATATACTTTCTAATTCCCACAGCAACATTGCGAAGTAGATTCTATAGTACTGTATTATAGATAAGGACACTAAAGTTTCAAGAGATTAAAGCTACATAGGAAGTGGCATATCTAAGTGTGTGTGCATCCAAAGCCCAGAATCTCTCTACCATATATTTACCTAAATACATTTACCTTAAATCGTCTATGGTTTCCAGGTTCCTATGTACAATATCAGCTATTTTTCCCATTAATGGACTGTAATATAAATGTTGATTTGCTAGGCAAGAGGAAAATTTTGACAGCACATTAATATCAAACCTATTAAAGGAAATATACAAAGATTATTATTATTTACTTCCACTTAAAATACAATAAACAGTTATAAAAAAGCAATAAAAATATTAATACACTGCTAATATATTACTAATTTATTTTTTTTTTTAGATTTTATTTATTTATTCATGAGAGAGAGAGAAAGGCAGAGACACAGGCAGAGAGAGAAGCAGGCTCCATGCAGGGAGCCCGACGTGGGACTTGATCCCCAGTCTCCAGGATCACAGCCCGGGCTGAAGATGGCACTAAACCGCTGAGCCACCGGGACTGCCCATATTACTGATTTAAAAGGAAATGTTTCTAAAATGTTTATTTTTTTTATTGTTATAAAAGTAATTATGCTAACAATTATAAAGTCAGATGCTACTAAGATTTTTTTAAAGGGAAAAATCACTTGAAATTATTTAAATCATTTATCAATTTTTTGAGGTGACAGATCAATTTCAACAGAAGGTTATACATCAACAAAACAATCAACTACTACAACTAGTCTGTGAAAAACTCCAGAATTTTTCTGTAGGAAAAATGATCCCATTTCTTTTTTTTTTTTTTTAATTTTTATTTATTTATGATAGGCACACAGTGAGAGAGAGAGAGAGGCAGAGACACAGGCAGAGGGAGAAGCAGGCTCCATGCACCGGGAGCCCGACGTGGGATTCGATCCCGGGTCTCCAGGATCGCGCCCTGGGCCAAAGGCAGGCGCTAAACCGCTGCGCCACCCAGGGATCCCTGATCCCATTTCTTCAACAAGTAAATGGCAAGACAAAAAGAGGGAAGGAGAATTGTCATAGATTTTAAAAGACTCTTGGGGTGAGGAATTGCATGAAATCTGTTGATTACTTTCTCTGAATTCACTAAGACAAGCAAAAGGAAGTTATGCACAGCACAGTAAGTTAATGGCAAAAAAACTGCAAACAACCTAAATATCTATCAAAAGTACATTGGATAGGGGTGCCTGGGTGGATCACGGAGTATGCTTAACTATTATATTATGCCTTTGATTCTGGTCATGATCTCTGGGTCGTATGAAGCTTTAATGAAAAATTTTAAAAATTTGAGTTATTGTCAACAATGACCAAATTTAACCCAAAAGCCCAGTAGTTTGGACTGCTCACAAAAGATATAAGATTATTCTCCCTATTTTCAATAAAAGATAGTTAAAGAGAATGCAAAAAATGGAGATGAAAAGACAGATGGGTTGAGGTCATGAGACTTCTGAAATCACAACTTAGTAAATGAATGTAGACTTTCTCAGCCCATAGAACTTGTTGATCCTGTTTAATCCAGCCCATATAACAAAGGCCCACAGAGCTTGCCCACATATAACTAAAATTTTAAGAATTTAACATGGTTTATGCTTTAATCAGTATCCTAAAAGGGCATAAGATGGGATAATAATCACCAGTGATGAGTCTGCTCCTGTCTACAGATAAATATCCTGTGGCTTCTTCTGTATGTTAAGTCAATCCTTTCCTTTCTTACCCTAGGTTTCTACTTGGTTTAGGAGAGTTGGTCTGTGTTTTTTTGGCGGGGGGCGGAGGGGAGGCACTTGTCACTGCATTTAGCATTATACTCTCTAGCTCCATCCATGTTGTTACAAGTGGTAAGATCTCATTATTTTTTTATAACTGTATAATATTCCATTGCATAAATTTACTATATCTTCTTTAGCCATTCATCTATTGATGGACACTTGGCTGCTTCCATAGTTTGGCTATTATTAAATAATGCTGCTATAAATATCAGAGTGCACATATCCCTTTGAATTAATGTTTTTGTATTTTGGGGGTAAATACCCAGTGGTGCCATTACTGGATCACAGAGTGGTTCTATTTTTAACTCTTTTTTTTCTGTTTTTTTTATTTACGATAGTCATACAGAGAGAGAGAGAGGCAGAGACACAGGCAGAGGGAGAAGCAGGCTCCATGCACCGGGAGCCTGACGTGGGATTCGATCCCGGGTCTCCAGGATCGCGCCCTGGGCCAAAGGCAGGCGCCAAACCACTGCGCCACCCAGGGATCCCTATTTTTAACTTTCTGAGGAAACTTCATACTGTTTTCCACAGTGGCTGCACCAGTTTACATTTCCACCAACAGCACGAGAGGGTTCCTTTTCCTGCACATCCTCACCAACATTTGTTTTTTGTGTTGTTGATTTTAGCCATTTCGACAGGTGATAATTCATTGTAGTTTTACTTGCATTTCCCTGATGATTTCCATGTGTCTGTTGGCCATCTGGATGTCTTCTTTGGAGAAATGTCTGTTCATGTCTTCTACCCATTTTTAATTAGATTGTTTGTTTTGGAGTGTTCAGTTATTTCAGTTTTTATCTATGTTGGATACTAACCCTTTATCGGAAAGGTCATTTAAAAATATCTTCTCCCATTCAGTAAGTTGCCTTTTAGTTTTGTTGATTGTTTCTTTTGCTATGCAGAAGCTTTTTATTCTGATGTAGTCCCAAATAGTTTATTTTTGCTTTGATATCCCTTGCCTCAGGAGCTGTATCTATAAAAATGTTGCTACAGGTAATGTCAGATAAAGTACTGCCTGTGCTCCTTCAAAGATTTATATGGTTTCAGGTCTCACATTTTGGTCTTTAATCCATTTTGAGTTTACTTTGGTATATGGTGAAAGAAAAAGAAAGTGGTCCAATTTCATTCTTTTGCATTTAAAACTCCACTTGTTGAAGAGACTGTCTTTTGCCCATTTGATATTCATTCCTCCTTTCTCAAAGATTAATTGACCATATAATTGGTGGGTTTATTTTTGGGTTTTCTGTTCTATTCCATTGACCTAAGCATCTAGTCTTATGCCAGTACCACAGTTTTAATTGCCATTGCTTTATAATATAACTTGAAATCTGAAATTGGGATAAACCCAGTTTTGTTTTCCTTTTTCAAGATTGCTTTAGCTAGCTATCAGAGGTCTTTTGTAGGTCCATACAAATTTTAGGATTGTTTGTTCCAGTTCTGTGAAAAATGCTGTTGGTTTTGATAGGAATTGCATGAACTCTGTTGATTACTTTAGGTAGGATAGACATTTTAAGAATATTCATTCTTCCAAACCACGAGCATGGAACATCTGTTTCTCTCCATCATCTTGAATTTCCTTCATCAGTGTTTTGTAGTTTTCTCAGAGTACAAGTCTTTCACCTCTTTGGTTAAATTTATTCCTCGATATTTTATTGGTTTTGGTGCAATTGTAAATGGGACTTTATTTTTAAGATTTTATTTATTTATTCATGAGAGACAGAAAGGCAGAGACACAGGCAGAGGAGAAGCAGGTTCTTCATGGGGAGCCCGATATGGGACCCAATCCCAGGACTCTGGGACCAATACCCGAACCAAAGGCAGACACTCAACCACGGAGCCACCCAGGTGCCAATGAGGTTGTTTTCTTAATTTTACTTGCAAGTGCTTTATTATTAGTGTATAGGAAGGCAATAGGTTTCTGCACATTGATTTTGTATCCTGCAACTTTATTTGATTCCTTTATCAGTTCTAGTAGTTTTTTGGTGGAGTCTTTAAGGTTTTCTATACATAGTATCATGTTATCTGCAAATTCTGAGAGTTTGCCTTGTTCCTTACAATTTGGATGTCTTTTATTTCTTTATGTTGTCTAATTGCTGTGTCTCAAACTTCTAGTACTATGTTGAGTAAAAGTATTGTCTTATTCATGACCTTAAGGGCAAAGGTCTGTTTTTCACCACTAAGTATGATGTTGACTGCGGGTTTTTGATATAAGGTCTTTGTTATGTTGGACTATGTTCCTCTAGGCCTAATTTGCAGAGGGTTTTTATCATGACTGGATGTTGTACTTTGTCAAGTGCTTTTTCTGCATTTAATGAAATGATTATTTGACTTTTATCCTTCCTTTTATTTATTTTTTATAGTGATGTCCTTTCTTTTATTGATGTGATGTATCACACTGATTATTTTGTGAATATTAAATCACCCTTGCATCCCAGGAATAAATTCCACTTGATCGTGATGTATGATTTTTTTAATGTATTGTTGAATTTGGTTTGCTAATATTTCACTGAGAATTTCCGCATCTATACACATGAGAGATATTGGCCTGTGTTTCTTTTTCTGTGGGGTCTTTATCTGATTTGGTATCAAAGTGATATTGGCCTAAGAGAATGAATTTGGAAGTTTTCCTTCCTCTTCTATTTTTTTGGAAGAGTTTGAGAAAAATAGGTATTAATTCTTCTTTAAATATTTGGTAGAATCCTCCTATGAAGCCATTTGGTCCTGGACTCTGATATTTTGGAGTTTTTTGATTACTGATTCAGTTTCATTTCTGGTAATCAGTCTGTTCAAATTTTCTATTCCCTCCTGCTTTAGTTTTGGTAGGCTATATGTTTCTAAGAATTTATCCACATCTTCTAAGTTGTCTAATTGGTTGGCATGTAGGCTTTCATAATCTTGTTAAAATTGTTTCTATTTCTGTGGTGTTGGTTGTTCTTTTAAAGATTTTATTTATTTTAGAGAGAGCATGAGCAGGGCAGGGGAGGAGAGAAAGAATCCTAAACAGACTCCCTACTAACTGTGGAGTCTGATGCAGGGCTCAATCCCAGAACCTCAGATTATGACCTGAGCCGAAATCAAGAGTAGAACATTTAAGAGACTGAGCCACCCAGGAGCCCCCTGTGCTATTGGTTATTTCTTCTCTTTCATTAGTAATTTTGTTTATCTAGGTTCCCTCCCTCTCTCTCTGATAAGTCTGAGTAGAGGTTTATCAATTTTGTTGATCTTTTCAAAGAACCAGCTTCTGGTTTCATTGGTATGTTCTATTGCATATTTTTAGTTTCTATATCATTTATTTCTACTCTAATCTTCATAATTTCCTTCCTTTTGTTCCATTTGCGTTTTGTTTGTTCTTTTTAGAGCTCCTTCAGGTGTAAGGTTAGGTTGTTTATCTGAGATTTTTCTTATTTCTTGATGTAGCCTTGTATTACTATAAACTTCCCTCTTAGAATCATTT